TGGATGCACGATAAGGTCCGGTTAGCCCTGCTGACCGTGACCTCACATTGTCGGCCCATGTTCATCTTGGAGTCAATGATGACTCCAAAATCCCTTTCTGCCTCTGTGCTCTCAAGAGGGGAGATTCCCATCTTATAAGTGTGCTGCTGGTTACTACTGCCCAAGTGCAGCACCCTGTGCTTGTCAGTATTGAAACGCATCCTGTTTTTGTTAGCCCACCCCTGCAACCTATCCAGGTCTTTCTGCAGTCTTTTCCTCCCTGTTAACATGCCCACCTCATCCCAAATTTTGGTATCATCAGCAAGTTTGAACAGGATGCTTTTCACCCCATCATCCAAATCGCTGATAAAGAAATTGAACAGCGCGGGCCCAAGGACCGAGCCCTGGGGGACTCCGCTGCCCACTTCCCCCCAGGTCGAATATGACCCGTCCACCACCACCCTCTGAGTACGACCCTTCAGCCAATTTACAATCCATCTGACTGTATAGGCATCGATGCCACAGTCGCCTAGTTTTTTAATGAGGATGGGGTGGTTGACAGTGTCAAAGGCCTTGCTGAAGTCCAAAAAGACTACATCCATGGCGACACCTGCATCCAATGCTTTCGTGACCTGATCGTAAAAGGCAATAAGGTTGGTCTGACATGATCTGCCCCTAATGAAACCGTGCTGGTTGCCCCTGAGCATCATCCCCGATGCCGGCCCATCACAGATGTGCTCCTTGATGATCTTCTCAAAGAGTTTCCCCAGGATTGAGGTAAGACTGATGGGCCTATAGTTGCCCAGGTCCTCCCTCCTCCCTTTCTTAAAGATGGGGACCACATTGGCTATCCTCCAATCATCTGGCACCTGGCCCGAGCACCACAAGTGCTCATAAAGCCGTGCCAAGGGCCCTGCAATAACTCCCGCTAGCTCCCTCAACTCCCAAGCACTCATGTGCTTGTTCAGGCTGTCTTCCCTTTCTCTTTGGCCCTGTGCAATATCTTGCTCTTCCTCTTTCATAAAGACACAAGTCTCCAGAAAACAAAATGTTTCTGTCCCTATGTGCCTTGGATGCAATTTAATCTAGGTAGTGATGTGTCTATGTTTTGAGCATGGGGTGCTATTTTTTCAGCCACCTGATTCCATAAAGCAGTTCATTAGGGCTCTGCGAAATTTCAACATTGGTCTGGACAGAATGACCAGCGCAGAAAGTTTGAGTCAGTTAAGTCAAAGCTGGATGGTTGCTGTGGTTAATACAGCTACATGAATAGCAAACACTTAAAAAAGCTAAACTGAGTGAGGTGACAGCATGTAGACTGTCACATAAAATATTTGCTGCCTTGACACTGCTACCTTTGAATGATATTTAAAATATTTATTCAGGGTCCCTATTTGTATGGAGAGCCTCTTGAGAAGACTGGGAACTTTGGTAGCCCTTCACCCAAAGCATAAACTGTTGGAAACTATCACTGCTTGCCTAGCTATAAACTGTCTTGTCTGTTATATGAAGAGCTGTCACTTTCAAGGATTGCTATCATTTCTCTGTGTTCCTTAATAATTTGAATATTACCTGTATGTACCTTTCTAGTTTCTCTTTTTCTTTCTTGCTCCCCTTGCCTTCCACACTAACACTCGTGATCACACATATGTTATTTGTCTTTCAGGGTCTCCAGATAGCAACTCATCACTTCAGTGCTTTTTTCACGTACAGCCCTGCAGTGGTTTAATCTCTTTTAGATTCTAGCACTTATTTGCACTGAACTATCTTCTTTTACTGACATTGTTTTAACCTTACCTCTGAAGACACCTCTGATGATCTGGTGTCTTTTAAAATCAATGCCTATCACCAAATTTCTCTCTGATGTTGGCTTCAGTGGAGTTCCACTTAACTTGGTTATATTTGACCTGCTGTCTCCCTTAAGTAATATATTCTTGTAGAGAGAAATGAAGGGAAACCTAGATTTGTGCAGCTTTATTTCATCTTTATTCAAATGTGAATGCATGGTAAGTCATTGTACCAAAACTCAGGTGCCACCTTAGTGCCCCCTCGCCTTGATCCCATTAGTGAGAATCAGATCTTATCTTCCCTCCAAGAAGAAAATGGGAGTAATTCCATTGACATATGCGTAGAGTTATATGACTGAAACCAATGTAGAAGTGATAGAAGAATTGAGCCCACTATCTTCCTTTGCAACCATAATTTCACAGGGTTCTGATTGATCTCAGCATTAGGGATGTGGCTGTGATAATGCAATACATATAGTTAATCATGTGGTTGGGAACTTAACAAGAGTTTGATCTCAATATGTTGTCAAGTATTTTCTTGAGCAACAGATCAATTGGATTCCACTGCAAAAGTCTGACATTTAATATTCTTGCCAGAGGCTTGGTTAATGGAAACTTTTTGCATTGGTAAGTTGTGACAGCAACAAAAAAGAAAATGTTCAGTTCTCGCACAGTTGAAAGACGGAGGCGTGAATGACCTAACAAACAATCACTTCCTTCCTGGAGTTAGAAGATATTGCAGATATCAGCAGTGAGACACTTTTCTCCCTCATAAATACCACAGTTCAAGTCTGGAGAAACATGAAGTTGCATAGGAGTTGCTGGAGTTTCTGTCCAATCTTTCTGTTGGTTGGTAAGTTGAGGAGGTGAAAGATGGGGGTAAAAAAATGTAGTCCCTTTTGCAAAATGAAAATAAGTAAGTGTAGGTTATCTGCAAAGATAGCAAGGATGTAGATTTGGGAACTGGGAGCAACCAGTGTTCTAACGCTAACCACAGCTCTGCCATTGACCTGCTGTACATCACTCAGCAGTGCATTTAATATTTGCAAAATGGGAAAAATAGTGCTCAGGGCCTGTTATGTGGTGACTTATTTAATGTGAGTGCACAGTCTTAAATGTGTTACTGTAAAATAATATAAAACATGAATTACAGGCACTGTTATAATGTACCTCAGCTTTTCATCTAATGGCCCCTAGTGCTTCTATCGCTGTAGGTTTGTACCAAATATTTAACTCTGTTTAGAATTTTGAGATAAGGCATGTAACAATGACAGTATTTACCCAGTGCTAGAGCTCGCCTCTCAGTGTTAGCCTGGAAGATGCTATACAGAATGTGTGTGTAGTTTTGTTTTCGTCTTTCTTTCTTTTTTTTTTGCATGATGGAGTTAGAGTAAAATATTTGCTATGCGACTCCACTGGCCATTTATTCTTGCCTAGGAAACATACCACTTGTAGGAGCTACTAGAGCCCCACAATAGTATCTATGCCACAGCTCCAGCTGCCTTGGAGAAGGGGCCTACAGCTCCCGAGGAGAGTTCTGTGTATTTAGCCTTTGCATGGAGAACAGGATTTAGCCTACCAAGGATAAAGTATATTCCCAGATATGATTGACTGCACATTTTAATACACACAGTCTGATCAAGAGGAGTGCACTGAGGACCTGGGGCTTGTCTAAGTTTCTAAGATTTTCTAGTTTTGTTGCCTCTTCCTATGCGCAGATGGGTTCAGAATGGACTGTCTAGGGGATGCTCCTCAGGAGGCTAGGGCAGATGCAGCTTCACTATTGTCCTATAAATGGGGAATGGACAAAGCATAGGGAATATGAAATTACACCTTACCTCACTGTACCCAGTTTTGTTGTAATTTGAATCATTGTAATTGCTGAAGAATTTGAATGACAAAAGGTGTTACTTTGCTGTTTTCCTTCCAGAGGTAAAGGATTACCATTGTATTATTTTATAAACATATATGAGTTGCAAATTCTCACTGCTCAAGTAAAAATGATTTACTGGTCCACCTCTATTGCAGGTTTCTCACAACCTGTTTGCATTGAACTTCATCAGGATGCAATCAATGGAACAATCGGTGAATCCGTCCTCCTGCCAGTCTCCTACAGACTCCAGATCCCATTTGACAACCCTCTGCCATTTAGCTGGAATTTCATTAATATTCCTCATATACTTGTTACCTGCACATTGACTAACTGCTCTCTCAATACTAAAGGGATTCCCACCAGCTGCTCTGGAAAATATTTTGTGCATCCCACATATCAAAGCCGGGTTACAGTATTCCTTGAAAATGCCTCTCTGCTCCTTCAGAGCCTGCAGCTCAACGACAGTGGAGTGTACAGTGTCATCTTCATGGGAGGGAAGCAATCCAGAAACATTACATTAACCGTATCAGTTCCTCACCTGGATAACAGAAGTCCAGGTAACAAAAAAGTCAATTATAATATCCACAACCTAGTAAAAGATGGATCCCGCACTGGTGACACCTACGTGCAGTAATTTAGAACTGGAATATTTTTCCCTATGAGAGATTAGGAGAGAGTGAACAAAAGCAAAGCATCATCACAACCCAGATGATAACAGGCTGATACACATGAATTTTCAAAAGCAACAGCTCCTTCTGCCCTCTTCCACCATTCCTTCTTCCATTATTATTAGCCTGCAGGATTGATCTTTTTCCATGGGTTAACAATTAATTTATCCCTGAAGCCTCCATAATTCATGTTGTCTTATATTCCATTATTGTATTTCATTCTAACTATTCTAGTTTCTTCTTGGAATTTTTTTCCTGGAGATCTATACTGATTACTAATTAGCTAGCATTAAAATGGATATGTTGGTTGATAAGAATGAATCTGGATAAAAGGAGTCAACCCATTTTTGTAGCTGTCTAGAACCTGGCCAACTTGTATTTTTCTAGAGATCACACTAATGTGTCTAAGATGGCTTCCTATTTCTTGGCTGAACAGTCTTAAAATAAAAAAGGCCAATTACAATAATTGCTATAAACCTAGCTATGTCATGACCCTTAGAAATAATGATTTATGACTCTTCATTGTCAAATATGTTGTCTAGTCTAAATACATTTAATAAGACACTCTTAAGACTTAGATTAAATTTGGGACTATCTAGGATAAATGTTCATAGTAACTGAGGAAAAAGCCCTGGTTATTAGCAGGGGTGTAGGTTGTAGCCATGTTGGTCTAAGGACATAGGCAGACAAGGTTCTTTGGGTGAATCTGGTATCTTTTATTGTACCAACTTAAATAGTTGGGGAAAAAAACATTTTAAGCAAGCTTTTGGGTTCAAAAACCCTTTGGCGTGCTGAAGAAGTTTCTGCAGTTGGTGTGTGCTCTTCCTGGATGGAATGAAAAGTAAAGAAGCCAGAGACTGGGCTGGTATGCATACAAGATAAGCAGTCAGTGAAGGTGTAAATTGAGGAGTTAATGGATGACAGAGAGGCTGGGGAGAAGGGGGATGAATAGTGGAGAGGTACCCGGGGAGTCAGATGTCAGGCAGGTTATAATGTGTCATAAATCCAATGTCTATATTTAGTCCATGATTTTTAGTATCCAGGAGGTTGATGAAGTGCAGTTCGTAGGCTCATCTCTGGAAAGTGTTTTGTAAGTTCCCTTTGAGGATTAGAACTGAGAGATTGGAGAGAGAGTGGTTTACTTGTGAGAAATGTGCCCCAACCAGTACTTGGGTATTCTTGTCTTTGATCGATTTCCAGTGTGCATTCATTCTGGTGCGCAGTTGTTGTTTGGTCTCTCCTACGTATTTTCGTAGCCTGGTTATTAGCAGGCATTTTTTTAAATTGCTGTCTAGACATTCTAGAACTATAAGAGTAAAGTTAGCAATACAGTACAAGGAGTTCATTTTACTTTACAGATACTGAGGACATGTACACATGCAATTAATGTGATTGAATTGAATGAGATCCAATTTGAGCTGGAGTAAACTAATCCAGATGTCACCATCTACACATACATTTAAGTGCAGTAATATACTGTGGCATAGGAGAGTACCTGTGTTTGATGGAACTGTTCTATGCCAGAGTAAATTAATCTACCCCAGACTATTTATGGTATACATGTAGATGGTGACACTTTACTGCACATTAAATTAGCCTAATGTGCAGTAAAGTTCAGACATGTCCACTCTGTACAATTGATGTGCATTGGCACTTTTGACTAAATTACATGAGTTCCTATTATTACTTCATGAGCACCCAGGATGTTTGCTGTTGTACAAGATTTGCACAGATGCGGTCTGCCCAGAGGAGCCAACAGTTCAAAAGAAAAACACAGATGACATTATCTGTTAGAGGACTCAGAGTTGTTAGCTAAGGAAGCTTTCATTTTGAAAAATTACTTTCCTGCTTGTCTCTCTAATTAAATGACAATGGAGTAGAAAAGACACTTGACTGTTACTGGTTGAGCCTATGGGCCTTGAAAATTAAATGCATTGATTTAAATGCAGTGGATCAATGTAATGTATGTTTAAACACCTGTGCCTAAGCTATTGAAATACATCATGCCCTCTCAGCCTGTGGTGCAGAGTGAGCCCAAGACAAAAGCAGGAAAGATCTCTCTAATGACTGAGATTCAGAATATTACACTGGGCAAACATTGAAGAACTGAATCTGTGCTTGGAGTTACTGTGTATAAGTTGCCCCAAACTACTTTGAATGCCTTTCCCTAGCACAGTGGTTCTGAACCTTTTTAGACCTGAGCCATCCCATGAAAATGCCAGCTCTTAGTTTTCATTCATTTTTGCAATTTTTCTCTTGCAAAAAACTCAGAGAGATAACAGCAGGTCAGAATGTTTTAATGTTATGGATTCCTACTTGAAACCTCTGGGTTTATATCGTGAATCTTGTTTGCACACCTACCAGTGCCAACACTGCGTGGCACTGCACAGTACCATTGAAAGGATCACAAAACACCCTAGGGTGCACGGTACCCTGGTTGAGAATCACTACACTAGCAAAACCCAGAAGATCCAACTCATGGGAGTCACTGTGCAGAGTTGGATTCAGCCAGGGGTCATGAGGAATAAAACCACATAATTGCTTTCCCTCTGTGTGGAACCCTCATACCTAATGCTCAATGATAAATTATCCTCTTTGTATCGTGTAAACAGGGATGGGTATCTTTAGGGACCTTTCTAAAATACAGCACCAGAAGCTATTCTTTACAGGTTTGTTGGGCTTATGTGCAGCTTTAGGGCGAAGATCACTTGGTTTCACCTGACTTTAAATGAGACTTATTTGTAGACTAGTACTGACCCTATTGTTTAACAGGATGGACTGCAATTGATGGGGTCCCCTATGAAAAATGACATGCTTCTTTTAAAAAACCTGTCTCCCTCTTGGTACATCTCATAGTACATGGTTGTTTGTATTTCTTAGAATTCAATATCTCTTCAGAAGACACAGCTGTTCTTCCTAGCTACCAGATAGGCATCATTGCCGGAGGCAGCGTGGGTTTGCTTTTTCTAGTGCTACCGCTGTTCTGCTACAAGAGTTACAGGGGTGAGTAATCAGTTATATTTGTGCTTTAGGGTATGTCTGTTCTGCAGGAGGGATTCTTTCAAGCATATCCTGTCTCCCATTCAATCCCCAGTAACATGGTTCTGCTTCCTTCTCCAGGGGCTGGCACTCTCAAGATCTCTGTTTCAAGCATTCTTGAGAGTGACCACTGTGGATGCCCTTAGAGAGTTCACAGTTGTATTTTTGGGTTTGGCATGGGTGAGCAAGGCTTGCTCCAGGGAGTCCCTCCTGGGATGTGATGGAGATGGCCCCTTTGGGTTTTTTTAAAGATGGTTAAAAAGTATACTCAAAGCTGTATTGGCAAGTTTAGAACAGGATAGATCCAGACTATTTATATTCCAAGGCCCATTGTCTTTCCATTGACTCTTAGATCTCTCTTGCTGCTTTCATCCTTACCTAAATTTCAGCACTTCACTCTTTC